TTTCCTCATCTGAAGATAAAAAAATTTCTTCTTGTTTAACTACAACTTGCATTTGCTGTTTGGCTGTTATCTCTAATTCTTGTATTTGCTGTTATACACTGTTTAATTCCACATCTTGAGTTTGTGTTGTTGCTTCACTTTTCATTTCTTCTCTGTATTGGCGTTTTTTCCCTATTAAGGATATATCTGAGGATCCTTTTACGATTTCCATTTTGTTTTCTTCTCTAGTTATTTCTTTTAAGCTCATACTTGCTAAGTAGTCAATAGAGCCAGGGTTCAGTTTAGTCATCATTGCCTTTTCTCGCCAGTTTTGTAAAACCTTATCTGGATGTTGTCTTTAACTGCTAGAAGTGCTTCTCTTACTTGCCCAAATAATGACAACATTCTGGATGTTTCTTTGTCTAAATTTTTTGCTGAACAGATTGCTGCTATAAGATCTATATCATCTGGTTCTCTTTCTCTTACTTCTTGTAAAAATCCGGTTAAAAATACACAGTTGATATATTTCAGTCTTGAATCTGCTTGTCATATGACAGAGCCTAAAAGTCTCATATCATAAATATCTATCTCACTTATGTTAGGCTTGTATAACTTGATCATCTATCCTGTTCTTTCTGGAAACGTCTACTGAATCACGTGTATTGTTGTTAATCTTAAACTTTCTAGAATATTCTGTTGCTACACATGTTTGTTGTCTTGCTTGTTTACGCATTTTGTTTGTTTGTTTTGTTAATGCTTGTATAACTATTAACAATCTGCGTTTATGGTCAGACGGTTCGCCCACTTTTTTTAAAAATTTCTTCGAAGTTTTCGTTTTCCTTGTATATTTCTTTTGCTGTAAGCTCTATCTTGATTGTTTCTAAGCTAAATATTTGTTGTTTCTGTTGTTCTTTCTTTTTTTCTAAGGCCTTGTTGGTCGTTTTCTATAGCCTTGGATGAGTTTTTGCTGTTTTTGTTTTCTGCTTGTTTGTGTACGAGTGATCAGTAGAGAGAGTTTTTTTTGTTTTTTGTTGGTTCATCTGTTTTCATTTCTATTATTTGTGTATTATTAGAAGTTAATATAAAAGGAAGTAGTGTATTTAGAGGGTTAGTGGTCTTTGTAGATAAAGTGTTTTGATTCTGTTCTTCTTGAAGTTGTTTGAGGCAGTCAATATGATAGGCTTCATTGTCATGAAATAGAGCATCATTTGTGAGATAATGAATATTATTAATTCTTTTACAGGATATGACTGCTTAGCATTTAGGGCATGTATGCTGTTCAAAAGTAGAAGATGAAGAGGCTGGAACTGTTTGTGTTGATGATTGTAAGGCTGTAGAAAGTTTCTTTGCTTGTTTATTAGATGTTGTCAGGCTAGCAGTTACTTGAATATCATATGTTTTGTTTAAATCCGATACAAAGTTGGTATAAAAATTGCCACATAGACAAGTAACTATTTGAGTCATTGGTGGTGCAGGTAAGAAGTGTGTTGATTAATAGTTTCTTAGATTTTTGATATAACAGCTGGTAGAGCAAAACTGGGTAGGGATAGCGTTGATTTTGTCAAAGTTCTTCTTCATAGATTGCTATACCAAAAAATTTGGCATAGTTAACATAAAAGTAGTCAAGGTCTAAAGAGTCTGGAGTTTGAGTTACAGGAGCAGGCATTGTGTTGTTTGATGTATGGAGTGTTGGTATAGAAAGTACAAGATACTGGTTTTATATTTGCTTAAGAGCGCAGAATCACTTTCCTTAGTAAAATTTAAAGTTATTTGATTAAGTATTTTCCAGGGGTGTTGCTGCAGCTGCTGCAGCTTGTGTAACCTTGTATAACCTAGATATTATAAAGTGACACAGGTGTGGCTAGTGTGGCTGGTGTTGCTGGTGTAGCAAATGTGATACAAAAATTAGTTACACCTTTGTGTGTAGAAAGTTTGTGTTTAAATTAAAGAACCAATAGATTTATACTAAATAAATAATACTGTTTAAGGAAGTATTAATTTATACAAAGTAAATTTAATTTGGTCTATTTTTAGAAGTGATTTGAGGTTACACAAAAAACGAATTGAAGAAAAAAAAGTGGGGTAAAGACAAATGAATTTTGCAAGGAATTAAAAAAGAAGTTAAAATTATTTTTGTTGTAACTCGGTTAATATTAGGTCAAAACTCTTTATTTAGAGCTTGTTTTGACCAAAATGGTGAGCTCTACAATGTTCTCTTAATAGTCAAGAGAGGTTGTGAAGGCAGTTTTTGAGAAATAAGCAGAAGTTTGGTTTGAGAAGACCAAAGGATGTTTTGTAGTTTAAAACTACGAGTTTTCAAGCTAAAGCCTTAAAACTTTTATAATATATGTAAAATTATAAGAGAAGCAATTTTACTTAAAATACAAGTGTCAGTTTTCTTAATAAATTGTTGAAATATTAGCAGTTTTGTAATATATAAATTTTTATTTAAGTTTGTGTAAAGGATTTACAGAAAGAGTTTGTTCAACATATGTTTTAATATTACTACTGTTATAATACAGAATAATACTACTTTTATTCAAATTTTGCTTTAATTTAATATATAAAGCATATTAAATATAAAGTACTATTATTGTAATAATGTTACATTAATCTAATATTATGAATTTTATAAACTATTATTATATTTGCTATCTAATACTTTGTAATGTGTATTGCAGAATTATTATTTTTTTTGAATATCTAGTCATACATATACTAATTACTTTTTTTTCCTACAAAAACAAAATCAGAATTAAATCTACTTATCAATATTGTTACTGCACTTAAATCATATCATTCTTTTTATTAGAGATTTTCAAAGACCATCTTCTATTTGGCAAAGTATTGTTCTCTGTGTTTGTAGTTTTCGTGAGGCTAGTTTCTTCACTTTGTGCAGGTAATGTTCTACTATAATAATTTAATAAAAATTTATTATTAATTAAGAAAAAACTAATGACAATCTTTAAAATAATAATAGAAGCAATAATTTTTATACATAGTTTAGCAACAGAATACGATGTAGTTAAAAAAATACTTTAGCAACCAATATAATAAAGTTGATACTCATGCCCTAATAATTCAGTAGAGAAATAGATAGAAATATGTAATATCATATTTCACAAGCTAATTAAGATAAATGCAATGAAAGTTATATTTATGAGCTTAATAATTCAACATATGGATATGTGAAAGTGAGTTAAGCAAATATATAAAAGTGGATCAAGTGTATACAAACAATTAATTCAAGTGAAAATGAAATGTAAATATAGGAAAATCAGTCATGCAAATATAAGATGTGTCATGTGAATATGTGAAAGTGTATAATACAAATATGTGAAAGTATTATTAATATATAAATAGTGTAAAGTCAATTTAAAAGTAAATATACTTACAGGCTAATAATTCAGCAAAAAGATTAATAAAAGCAAAATAAAAATTATTAGAAAAAATTAAAATAATATTTTAGTATATCTGAAAGCATGACTATGCAGTGTGTGGTCAGAATTTTGAGGTTTTCTAAATTTGCCCAATAGTTTAATAGCATTGTTTGAATTTTTATTTTGAATTTGGTAATTAATATTTGGATTTTGGATAGTAGTTAATAGAATACAAAAAGAGGATAATGATGCTACAATAGTATTATTCAAATTATTTATTGAGCTTGGAGCTTCAAGGTATTGAGCTTGATCGGTAATCTGAATATGTATAGCAATAAAAAATTACAGTTTTTTTAATGAATAAAATATTTTATCCTCTTACATTAAGCCTAAGACTAGTTGCAAATTCTTAAAAGAGTTCATATTATTCTGAATAAGAAGAAGCACAAGAGAGAGATTGTGTGAAACCACTCATTTCGACAGCTAGTACTTAATTAATAAATATTAATGAATATAATATAAAAAATTTAACAATAGCAAATAATAATTAGTACTTCACCTGATTTGCTTTTTTGGTTATAAAGTGAATGATTATTTAATTTGTGTTTATTTTTATCACCTATTTAAAAATAATTAATTTCTTATATATGCATATTTTATATATGTAAAATATAATTTTAGATATGCTTGTTATTTATTATTCCTCTCATCATTCGTCTAATAGCCCAATCACATATTGTAAGAGAAAATTTTAAATTTTTTCATTTGAACTAAAATAAGAGTTTTTTGTTTAATTATTTTAACTCAGTCAATAATAAGAGCAATTAAAAATATAGTTTTGTTTGGCTTTCTAATAATCTCGCTTTTTTCATTTTCTGAAATTTTCAAAATTCAGATATTTGCTTTGCATATTTAGCTGTTATCATCAAATGAAGTGATTCTTAAATAATATTAAATAATACTGATAGTTATTATATAATTTTTTTTATCATTATTATTTATCAATACCCAGTAACTATTATAAAGAGGTTTTTCAAGTTTAAGTATTTTAGGGATATCAATATATGTTGCTTCATTCAGTTTTTCATTAAAGTCAACTTTAAATTGTATATAAAATAAATTATGTGAATAATTCAAATTTTAGCAAATATCAAATATGAGCAATTATTTAAATATATAACAGAAACCTTGTCATCAGTATTTCTTTTTTTTGGATAAGTTGTCATCCATATCATCTGAAAAGGTGTCAGTTTTTTTGTTCTTGACCTCCTTATTACGAGCAACTTGAAGTCTTTTCAAAGTTTTCAAGTGCTTAAGTAAAGCTGAAATCTCATTTTTTGTTAAAGAGGTCTCATCATTATTTGAATCAAGTTCATTTCCATCTATTTCAGGTTCACTTGTAGAAGAATTTGAGTCTTCATTGCTTGTAGTTAGTTTGCATTTACCTTTATTATTGAGTTGTTTTTTAGCTTTATTTAAACCCATTATTAATCACAGTATATATTAATATTGCGAAAATATATTTTATGAAAAAAGAAAGAGATCAATATTGCCTCAAACAAAGAGTTTATATATATATGTATAATAGACTCAACTTAGGGCAGAGATCAGTAAATATTTTATAATCTGCATGTAAAACATCACATACTCTATATCTCACATGCATTGCATATTATATTAAACAATTATTACTTAATAACACCAAGTGATATATAATACAGGTAATATTTAGATTGTACAAATATATTGCAGTTATTTAATGCTAATAGGTTAAATCAGAAATTTATGCATGTAAAGCTTATTTTACATAATACTGCATACACAGCATATTATTAACATTTTAGTATTTTGGTGATCGATACAATAAAATATAAAATAGTTTATAATAAGGCCATATAAAAAGAGTGAACTGATGATTATTAAAAGATCAAATCTCTTTTCTAAATTAATACAAAAGGAACACTTGTATTAAAATCTGTGTGTTTGAAGTGGAGTAAAAGGTGTTGGTTGAAGTTAATAAGAAGATGAATTAAAAAAGAAATAAGCAAAATGGACAAACAAAAAAAAAAACTGATTTTAAAACTTACATTATTTAAAAAAATTGTTTTTAAACTTACATCATTTAAAACATTGTTTTTAAAACTTATATTTAAAAAATACTATGAAATCCAAATATTCTTAAAATTATAAACTTATAATTTTTCACATTTTTAACCTGTAGCTAATTAATTCTCTCTCTCTTTCTTTCTATATATATATATATATGTATATATATATTATCAAAAAAAATTAATATAATTTTTGAAATGTTAGTTTGGTGTACTTGTCACTTGTGCTCATTAAATAATGGTGATAGTTCATGGATATTGGAAAGTACTAGAACCTGGCATCGACAGTATGATAGACAAAACACTCCAAGTCCTAGTAATGATAATAAGATTTCAGCTATAAACAATTCTTCACAAAATTTTTAACAAAACTTATTTAACTTTGATCTAAATTTGGAAGAAACTACAGAAGCCTACCAAAAATGTGAGAATAATTCAGAATATTATAATAAGGAAAGTTATATTCATAATACTGTGTTATATAACACCTTTTGCAATATCTCAAAAATGTACTAAGTAAATGGGTGTAGGTACTCTAAGTAAAAATGATCAGCACCTTGAAAACCTCATGAGAACTGAAATTGGAACCTATTAGGACCTTATGTCTAATATATATTGTATAATAAAAAATCACTATATATCTTAAAACCGGACCCTAACCCTAAGTAAGACATATAGGGTGTTATACTAACACAGTGTTATGAATATAATATTTCTTATAATAATAGCTTAGAGAATAAAGATAAATTGAAAGGTAAAAATGAATTTAAAAATAGCTTAAGAAATAAAGACAAATTGGTAAGTGACTTGAAAGATGAGAATGAATTTGGGTGTGGCTCCAGAAGTAAATATGAATTTGTGAATGACTTGGAAGATTAGAATGAATTTGGGTATGGCTTCAGAAATAAATATGAATTGGCGAATGACTTGGAAGATTGTAATGAAATTGGGTGTGGCTTCAGAAGTGAAGATGAATTGGCGAATGACTTAGAATTTGGATGTGACTCTAGGAGCGAAGATGAAATGATGAATGATTTGGAAGACAAAAATGAATTTGAGTATAGATTAGAAAATGAAAACGAATTGGCAAATAGCTTAGAAAATGAAAATGAAATTGAGAATAGTTTAAAAAGTGAACATGGGGTTGTAAGCAGATTAGAGTATAGTAATGAAACTGGATTAGATATTTATGATAATTCTAATAATAGGTCAGAGAGTAATAGTAATATTTTAACTAAAACTAATAGAAGCTCTACAGATAATAAAGGTACTATATTAAAATTATATTGTTTACTGATATTTAACTTTTTTTATTTACATATCTGCAGATTTGAGAAATTTGAGTATTTTCCCAGGGTATGTGGTCTATCACGCATTGTTTTGGTCATTTTTATTGGTCCATATTGCAGATCATAATCTGTTTATAGTTACAAAATTGTCGATTACGTCTAACCCATTGATTCACCCTTTTTTATTATAAAAAAGGGTGAGTCAATGGGTTAAACATGATCGACAATTTGGTAACTATAAACAGATTATGATCTGCAATATAGACTAATAAAAATGACTAAAACAATGCGTGATAGACCACATACTCTGAGAAAATACCCAAATTTCTCAAATCCGCGGATATGACATTAAATATAATTAAATATTATAAAATACACCCTTTATATTAGCCGAACTTGCTACTATGATTCGAATTCTTAAAATCAAGATGCAAAATAATCTAACTGATGAAGCTTTTTATGAAATTGTGAAAGCTGTAATTGCAAAACCAATGAGTCTATACTTAATCAAAAAAACTACCATCATTAATTTTATATAAACCCTTGTGGATAGATATATGCATCAATAGTTGTTATGCTTACACAAATAATTATAGCGATCTTAAAGAATGTCCTTATTGCAAACAAAGGTGATATCAAACTAATAAACAATCTGAAGCTTGTTTCTAATTTGTATATTTTCCTCTCATTGATTACCTTATAATATAATATTAAGATGCAGAACAATCAAAAAATCTACTTTATTATTCAAATTATATATCAAGACCAGAATATCATCTTAGCGAAAAAATTGAAAATGTGTTTAATAGCCAATGATATAAAGATTTAGTATAAAGAGAATATTTTAACAGAAAGTAAGATGTTGCACTATTAGTTTCTATTAATGGATTTTAAGTTTTTAGACAAAAGACAGATGATTGCTAAATTTTTCTATTTATAAATGCAAATTTGCCTCCTGAAATATGTATAAAAAAAGAAAATTTGTTGATTTCTACAATTATACTAGGCTGAAAAGGGTTGAAAGATTTAAATTCTTTTATTTCCTGCTATAACTGAATTATAAAAATTAGAAAAAGAAGTGAAGTATTTTACTATTCAACATGAAAATACATTTGTATTACATGGTTGCATATTGTCTTGGTCTGGTGACCTACCTGCATTTACAAAATTAATGTGTCTTATAAGACATAATTCATATAGAGGTGCTGGTATTGCAGCATAAAAGGCATTCATTATTTACATATATATTATCCTACACAACTATCTAAGGATCAAAATAATGAAACATATGATCCAGAAAACCTACCACTTAGAACTTACAATGAATTTAAAAGACAAATAAAAGTAATTCAAAATACACAAACAAAGTCAAAAAAAAATCAAGCCATAAGACATTACGGTGTTCTTAAAAAAGTATTTTATTTAATCTTGACATCACCAACTTGCCTAATATATTTCCTGTAGACATTATGCATTTATTTTATAATAATATTGCTAGCTATATGCTTGCTCATTAGATGGGTTCCTTTTTTACAAATCCAGATCAAAATAATAGTGAATATGTTTTAGATAAAGAAACATGGAATAAAATTAGAAATAAAATGCACTTAGTACAAAAAAACATTCTGTCAAGCTTGGGTCGACCATTATGCAATATCGTTTTACATTACAATAGCTATAAAACAGAGGAGTGGTCCTCCTAGATCATAATGTATTTATTGCCATTTCTTAAAAATCAGTTGCCTAATAAATATTATAAAGGCTAGAGTTATTTGTAAAGGCTGTATGATTATGCCAAAAAAGAATAATAACATATGATAATTTAAATAAAATTAAATCATATCTTTTAGCATTTTATTCACATTATAAAAAAGAATATTATCTTGGACAATCAGAACACTTAAGCGTAATGAAAATATGTATACATAAAATATTACATGCATCAGAAAGTACCTTCAGACTGGACCTTGTTATATGACGTGGTAATATCTAATCGAAAGAGTGTGTAGAATGCTACTTCCTCTAACCAAATCGAAATTACATCTGTACAAGAATCTTACTAATAATATTCATTTACATGAACTTTTTAATTGTCTAAAATTAAACGAATAATATATGATCAAATTTTTTTACCAATTCCACATAAAATACATGACAAACATCTTGCTTATACTAGAAATAATGAACAAGATTTCTATGTTCCTTTACTCAGTACAAATTGATACAAGCTGAATTAAAAAAAATCAAACACCATTTTTCTACTATATTAGATGTATCTGATTTGCAGCTCATACCTTTTAATCAAATGGGAACAAAATATAGTTAGCTTAGAACAAAGGATGGATATTACATTGGATCAAAGTGAATTTATCATAATAAAGATTGGTTACAAATTAATTATACCATTATGGTAAAGATAGAAGTGGATATTTATATAAAATATCCAAAGTGACTATCAGTATTTGAAGTTCAAAATTTTTATGCCATTGTTGAATATTACTTACTTTATGAATTTGAAGAATCAAAAGTAATGTTGGCATATATTCAGTGGACATCATATATTAAAGAAGATAATATTGGTGTAAGAACATTTAGTCAGTTGGAATTATATGTATTTATTGATTTATTAGCAATTGATCACTGTGTAGGTTTTATTAAAATTGATAAATTATTTTATATTGTAGATAATGAAGTAGATAATGATAAATAATAATAAATAAATTAAAATTATAAAAGAATCATATAAATCAAAAAATCTTTAATTTATAAATTAAAACTTATGAGATATAAAAATATTTCACAGTTTAAACAATCGCTATTTCTAATATAACTTTAATCTAAATAAGTTAACTATTAGTAAATGTATATAAACTTAGATCTAAATTTTTTTAAAAAAATGGACCTTTATTTAAGTAGCAAATCTAAGTACATATAAGTATATTTGGGTCAGGGTGAAACAACCTATTAAAATAATAACTTTCACAAACTATCGTTCTTGATTTATATTAGTGGTAAATCTAAAATTCTTATTTGTTATCTATAACAATTGCCCGCAATAGCTTAAATATTAATTTTAAAGCATCAAAAA